CTGCACTGTCTGATGACCTGTTCTTTCAAAATAAAGGCGCAAAAAGCCTTGAAAAAAGGTCTACGTTTGCTGATGAACAGCAAAATAAAAGTGAAATTTAAAAGCCATTAGCCATAAAAACCAACCCCAAAAAGTCAGACCACATTAAAATACAACAGAGTGAAATACAAAATAAATGCAAAGTCTAAAGGATACTACATTAAAAAATACATATACACTCAGCAATAAGTTGTATTGAAAGAGTTCAGCAGAAAAAACAATCATTCAGAGTCTCTGGAGAACAGATGGTAAATTAATCCTTGAAATCAGGAGATCAGAAAATACAATTTAAAAAGATTACCGCAATATTTTAGAAAAGCTGTAGGGTTGAACACATCAGATTGAAGTGTGTGTAGAGTTTAGGAAATAAGAGTGTATGGCACTGTTCTGCCTCCAAATGCAGAGCTCTGATCTCTAAGTCCAGACTTTGGAAAAAATGAGTCACTTTTGGAGCAATGCTCTCGTGAACTTAAATGAACCAAACATGCATAGATGTTTGAGCTCTGAGTCATGGATCAGCAGAAAAACACCCAGTCTGTAGATATCCTCTAAGGGGCCACTTCTTCCCACATGTCCCAAAGGAGGACACAAGCTCTGTTTAATTGGCACTGATTGATTTGTTTTATGATGATCTCACCCTCCCCTCCCCTCTCTTGTCCCCCTCAACAGAGAGCGAGGGGAGCACCTCCGTAGACACTCCTTCAGTGGAGGGACTGGTGACATCTTGGACCCCCTTCTCCTGTCCTGTCCCACCCCAGGGGTCACTCAGAGAGGCCACCACACCCCCTGGACTCCGCTCTCAAAAGACAACCTCAAGTACCGCACTGACGGCTACTACAACCAGGAGGAGCCACTCAACTACTGCAAGTCCTCCATGGGTCCTCATAAAGTCATGAGCCCAGGTCTGGGCAGTGGCTGGCCTATGCTTCCAAACTCAGGTCCTCTCAGGGGAGGTCAGGGCATCGGCTACATCCCTCCGAACCGCTTGAACAAGGTTGGCCCATACGGGAAGCCGTACCGCCCCTCTCCCAGCTGTCACAGTGGCCGAGGTGGCGAGGTGTTTGTCTCTAAGCTCTACGGGAATGTTCAGATCCCCTCAGACTCTGATGCATACTGCGTGGACCTTGTGAAGAGCGAGAATGGATATGGTGAATGCTACGAAGGCCATCTGATGCCGCCTATCAAGGTGGAGCATGACTCAGACTCTGAGACTGGCTGTGATGCATATGGGCAACCCTGGGCAGGCCGCGACCCAGAAACCATTGACCGCCGCTATGCCAATGGGATCTACGACCACACCTCAGGCCTCCATCTAAAATCCGAGGCAGATTACTATGACACGCAGTACTCACCCTGTCAGCGAGGGAAAGCAGGAATTAGCCCGTCGTACAACAGCAACTATCAGAACTATGCAGTCAACAACAGCAGCAACATGAGCAACCGCCTGATGAAATGTGACAAAGACTTGGGCAACAACGACAACCACTTCAGTCCTCAGAGACTCTCTCACACAGACCCTCTATGCAGCAACCAACCTGTCAACCTCATGGACTCTCATCTCTACCAGCAGAACCCACACAAGGCCTACATGCATCCGGACTACAACAAGCATGGCACTTACGAGTTCAAAGGTCATGGCCTGATCCACTCAATCAAACGGGAGCCCATGGACTCCCCGCCATGGTCGGAGAACACTCATGACATCAGCCAGGCCATGATGGTCAGTCCAAGGAACGTAATGCCGTGTGTAATGAGCACAGGACACCATAAGTCCAGCCCCTACATTTACATGCCGTAAGAGGGATGAGCTGATGATGTACCCAAATCACACACATTCAAACAGTCTTAGTGCAGGTTCATGGTAATGCCCTGCAGGCACCAGCATCACAAACAAACAGATTCCCGGGTTGTCATCATTCAGATCACTTCTGCTGCTGATGAAGAGGTCACAAACAGGCTCAGGTTTAGCATTAGTATTGTGACAATCAGGAAAAAAGAAAAAAAAACTCAGAATCCACTTAATAGAGATATGATTTGGTTTTTAAAGAGTTTTTTTTTTTGTAGTTGGTTCCAGCACTTTTGGATTTTAGTGACAATGAGACAAATTATGTGTAGAGACACAGTTTTATTTCGTTATATACAATGTCCTCACATGGCTTTGTGGGGAAAATTGCTGTAAAAAAAAAAAAAGACTGTTTTTGAAAACTTTGCTCACAAGAGATACTCACACACCAACTGCTGAGATATCAGGGAAGTGTCTAACCATGGGAGCAATTCAGTGATTACAGTTCAGAGGATAGTCTGAAGGATAATTTACCTTTATCGTTGTTCTCCAGGTTGTAATGCTTTAATTGAAAATCAGAAACTTTTCATCATTACCACCTTCAGTGATGTCAAAGTGGGAAGCTGGTTTCTATGCACTTCAAACTGTACTTAATCAGCTTGTAGAAGTTTGAAACAGAATCAGATGCAGTAATAATGTTTTGGTCAAGCTTGTAACCAAGGTTAATTTAGAACTCTAAAACCTTGTAATTAGGTACTTTATTGTGAAGTAAAATCAGTCCTTGATTCTCCAGATAAATGATCTGACTCTGCTCAAACCCAGAGCAGTTTCTTTCTTTTTTTTTTTACAAACTTAGGAGTGATTCTGGTGTTTAAATCTCAGCCCAGTGTGGACTTATTTAGGAGTATAAATGATTTGAGGCTTTGGAGTTGCTGCAGGAAATTGCTGCAGCTTATAGCAAAGATACTGACTATAACCAGCTGCAAAATAACAGTGAGATGCTCCTAGATGCATGTTTTTGCTTAAAGGAAAAGGTAAGATCTTTTTATTTAACACTTGCACTAGCTGTTTCATGTGAAAAACAGGGATTTCACCAAGCTGGAGCTGCAGGTCTACCGCTGCCTTGGCTGTTTAATTTTTGGCCTAAGGACCACTGCATTTAAAAGAATTGTGATTTTCATGCAGTAAGTTATATTAATTGGACTAACTCTGTTCTAAGAACTCTGTGCCCTTCTGTATGCATATGAGTTTTGCAAAAGTCTTAGGTGGGGTAAGCACACCCTCCTTCTTTTTTTTTTTTTTTTGTCTGTGTATAAATAAAAAGCAATGGCAGGCAGAGTAGCAGCAAAGAGTGGGGTCCAGACGACGGTGTGGAAGATACCAGTAAAATCAGACAGTGTAAAAAGAAAAGCTGGGATATATGCAGGGAGAGCATCAGCAAAGACCCCATCATACAGAGCAGAGCAGTATCAGTGCCAATTCACGTGAGGTATAGTAGGCAGGCTGAAGCAGTTTATGAACAGACTTTTAAATATTTGATAGTTGGAGGTGTGGATGATGATTGGCTGAGCTGTCAGCTGATATGGGCTGCCATTAAGATCAGCTGATGTACTGTAAGCATGTACTGATGTACTGACTCTGTGGCCTGTCTGAACTAAAACCATGCTCAATATGGTAATTGTACTGATTCACATTTGGATTGTGTCCAAACCAGTTCAAACCATCAAAGTTACACAAACAAAAAGACTGAAGCAGCAGTGGACCAGCAACTCCTGCCTTCTGCAGGATAAAATGGCCGTTTAAACTCAGATCATACTTAAACAAGTAAAGGATGGAAGTTTATTTGTTTAAATTGGAGGAAAAGGAGTAAAAAGCCTCATGTAAAGGTTTGGTGTTGATTCTCCTCTCTATATGCACAATTATTTCATCATGTTAGGTCATGAAACTCCTGTTGAACAAAAGAAAACAGTTGATTTATGTTATTTCTGTCAGAGATAATGTTGTACAGTATGGATTACTATTTTTTTTTGGTGAGATCAGCTTTTTGATTGGATGCAGCCAATGCAGGTTTGACACATTTTCTTTGAGATGAAAATATACTTTACAAATCGTGTGTTCAGTCCGAAAACATCAGAATTGTCTTCACAGTCAGTATTTTTGCACAAATGTATTAAAAGCACCAAATTGATTCAATGTTAGCGTCTCAGTTCTGTGAAGCTATAGTTGTTGTTTCTAACTTGCACTACTGGGAGAATTTTAGAGGGAGTTCAGCTGAGACGGACGAGTTTTTAAATCAACACGCACAAGTGTACATGGTGTCACCGTTTGTCTTTTTCTCTTTGTGTGTGTTCATTTCAATAAATGTTCAATGATTCATATTTATTGTGAGAGACAAAGTGTGTAACTTAAAGATTACAGTTTTGAAGGCTTTTTTGTTTCACCAAGGTAAATGAATATGGCTTTTTTTGTTGCTATGGTTTTGATATAATGGTTAAAAACTGTCCTACTTGTCTCAAGGAGGAGGTAGCTGCAAGGTAGCGAACACAGTGTACATATGCAGTGTCTTCCAATGTTTCTACGTGTTTTTGCAAATGGGACTTATATATTAAAAGACTTTTCTTTTTAAGGAAAATCTGTGTGCAGTGTTTTTCTTTAGCTCTGATGCATGTTAATAAAAGACAAAAATATATTAAATTTCGGCAATTTATTTTAATATTCATGATTAGATTAGTTGAAACATATTTGGTGAGCAGAGAAGAGTATTATTCTGAACATTAAAATTAACTGCATCCTATAATGGTAATCCAGTTACCTCATCGCCATCAACCAATCACATTCCTCTGACGTCACATTTGTGCCACTTTCCTATAAAAGTGTCATGTCATGTCTACATTATTTCTCATCTCTCGGGCATGGCCAAGGTGTGGTCCACAGCTGAGTGGAGCAGAGACTCACCTACGTGCAGCTCTTTGGCAGCCTTCACCAGGACATTCAAGCAAGTGTTTAAACACATCTCCCCAGGGCGAGAGGCTGCTCTGGCTCTTGTGAGACTGAGACAAGGTAGGAGAAGAGTGTCTGAATATGCCATCGAATTCTATACTCTTGCTGCAGAAAGTGACTTGAACCCCTCCGCCCTTTTTGATGCCTTTGTGGAGGAACAATCAGAGACTCTTAAAGATCATCTGGTACCCGTAGATCTTTCTGATGACTTGGACCCTTTTATTGCCCTAGCCATTAGCCATAAGTTGTTGGCAGTCCGCCGCAGAGGCTGTGGCAAGTGGTACTTAGTGGACTGGGAGGGGTATGGCCCAGAAGAACGTTCTTGGGTGTCAGCGGGCCTTCCACGGGGAGCACCCTGACTAGGGTCGGCCATAGAGGGGAGAGTACTGTCATTTCTATGGTTTAGTTCAGTAAATTTATTTACTCTTCCTCATGTTTCTTGTTGTCCTTCCTGTTTTATTTTGAAACTTACCTATGTCTCTTGTTTCAGGTCTCTTGACTTCCTGCCCTTGTGTACTCTGCTCCCTGATTGCCCTAATGTGGTCCACCTGTGTCTTGTTATCCCCACTCCCTGTGTGTATTTAAGGTCAGCCTTTAGTTCGTCTTGTTCTCTTGTGTCAATCGTTCCAGCATTTTCCTTATGTTTGCCTACCTGTTTTTGACTTAGATAGTGCTTAGATAGACTGATTTTTGCCTGTCAATTTGGATACCTTTGCCTGTGTGACTGCCCTCCTGTGTACAAAACCCTTGCCTGATTAAAACCTACTCTGAACTTTTATCTGGCTCCTGAGTCCTGCTTTTGGGTCCAAATCCTGGTTTGTTGTTACAAAAAGTCACTCTGTTTAAAAATTACCCAGTAATATTCAACAATGTTCCTACTTATTTCATGACAAATTGTAGCCTATTGACCAAAGTAAACTTACAGTTTTCCTGCTAAGTGCCTGTGTCCACTGGCAGCATATTTTGTACTGGCAGTGCCACAACCTCACTCAGTATGTTTGATGTTGTTCAAAGAAATTTTTTGTTGTTGGAGTTCATATGACACTGGACCTTGATTACATTACCGCATTGACGCCTGTGATTAATCAAGATATCTTAATGCGAGGAAAATAATAATAATAATAAAATGGCAATTTAATCATATGACCAAGTTTGACTGTGGTCCACCCATGATTCTGGTACATGAGCTGTGTCCGAATTGCGAAGTAGTAGTTGAAGCAGTAGTCGAAGTAGTATGTAGCATGTCTGAATTGGCCACCGGAGCGAGTAGCATGCTACTTCAGATACTACTTCAGATACTAGACACGCCCACATTGTAGGTTGGTCGCGGTGCATCCTACGGGCATGCTACTGACCCAAAATGCACCGCGGGCTTCTTCTTCGTCCTCTTAAAAGTTGTAGAAGCGCATGTGATGCTTGCGCCACCAGCTGCTCTGCCTATTTAAATGTGTTGCGAACACCGGCTGGCCACAGCAGCGCGCACCATGGCGGAGCAGCAGCAGCAGCAGGGGGCAGGACCGCAGCAGTACAGATGTAATTTTAATGTAACTTCACACACTGTCCTAAAAAAATGTGCGGTTGTATCTCTTTGTCATGTCATGGTGTCATATTTGCCCAAGTAATCATTTTATGAGCAAACATGTGGCGACATCGTGGAGGTAAAGCTCACTTATTCCATCATTAAACTGCACAGCTGCAGTAATCAGGCAGATCTCATTGAACAAACGGTCACCACGTGAGTGAATGAAGGCTAAAAGTAATGGAAAAGCTACTTTGTGAATTTCTAAAGCAGTGCAGGAATATAATACAGCAGCATCCATCACTTGCACAATTACCATTCAGAGTCTAAAACGGGCGCAGTACCTACTCTCTGCCTGCGGGGGTCGTCTTTCCCCACCACTCGTCTAGTGTGTCCGAATTGGGCCAACGTGTTTAGTATGTAGGAGTAGGATCTAGCAGTAGTATGCAGCAGTAGCATGTAGTATGCGAGCGGGCAATTCGGACACAGCAATGGTCTCCAGAGGCAGCTCGCTTCCCCCAACTGAGGCGCTGAGACTCACCTGTATCCATTCTGCAATCAAGCCAGCTTTAAGACTTCAGTTGCAGTCACAAGCCTCAGCGCCAGAATATTATCGCCTTCACTCCGTGGTACAACAGCCCTCTCAAGAACTCAAGATTTTTTAAATGTTTTTTTGATCCTTGTGTTTAACCCTTGCTTTTCTCTTCTCTTATTCCAGTGCCTCCCTCCGTGCCTCTCACCAGCTTACAACCCGGCACACTCTGTTGGACTCTGGACCCACTTCTCACCCACATTACCTCTGAAATGAACCTGTTTTACCTTTCCTCAGTCTGGTTTTGCATTTTGGGTATCAAAACCAACACACCATCCCTCACACAGGATTTGGGAATATCCAGGGATCCAGAGAGCAGATCCAGGGTTTTGTTTTCTCTGGTAGGACAGTTCACAAACTGTGTGAATCCAGTCAGGTGAGAGGAGAGGGTGACATGGTTGAAGTCTCCTGATATTACTAATAGTGCCTCCGGGTGTTGAGTCTGTAGCCCGGTTGTGCAAACGATCGCATGGAATTTCTTCAGTTAATTTGGGTGGAATGTATACAACTATTGTTATTGTAGGACTGAATTCTCTTGGAACATAATATGGCTGAAGAGCAACTGCCAACAGTTCAATATCTGGACAGCACAACTTCTCCTTGATAGTTATATGTGAAGGGTTACACCATCTCTAGTTGACAAGTAAAGCCAGACCTCCTCCTTTCTTCTTGCCACCAGCTTGAGCAACTCTGTCTGACCTTATGAGAGTGAAGCCAGGGGCCTATTCTACGAAGCAGGATTACTGTTTAGCAAGGTAACTTTGGGGGTAAGTTTGGGGTTTCCTGTTCTACGACGCGGGTTCACTTCTTAGCGAGGTGAGTCTCCATGGCAACATACGCTGAACGTCTAACCTGCTCCGGGGCAGGTTAGGTTCCAGCTTGAACTCACCGGGTATAAAAACCCTGCCCACTGACCAATGGGCTCTCTTGAAAAATGGCTTGTCTGTTCTTGGAGGATCCTATAGACCTCGGTGCTCGCATTGTCCGAGGAGCACTCCGGCGCGCGAGAGTTTTCAGGGACCACCACACGGACGCACTTACTTTTCCAGATGACCACCTTTATGAAAGGCTCATATGGCCTACATATCACACAAAAAATATAAACATGATAGGAATGAACAAATTAGACATGTCTGGTGCATGTTAAAAGCAGATGTTGAACAGTGCATTCAGGGTGATAATGGCATCAAAGATTTTTTGCGCACTATACTTACGCATTGAGATTGTCGGCAATTTTCTACCAGCATTCCTTCCGTGCTTTTGCAGCAGCGATGATGTTGCTTTTGAGGTTCATGATAGATTTGAATTCTTCATACTTTCTCAAGATCGTCTCCTGCTCCATGTTTGTAAAGTCCCGGGTTTTTCACTCTCCGGCCTGGTCTGACGCTCCAGACTGGTCCATGTTCGTGATTGGTCAGATGTGGCAGGCTCCGCCTTACATGCATGCACGCGCTCATATCAAAGCTGGATCCACATACGAGGTTGATTACCAGCGTCGTAAGACTGTTTAGTGAGACCACGCTAAGTTGAGTGAGGTACACTACAGGCCCAAAATTTGGAAGCAAGGCCATTACAGGCCAAAAAGTTGGGAGAATTTTAAGTTTTTGTTCACAATTCTTTTTTTGAATTCCAGCATGAGTTGTATGTATTTTGGGATGTATTTACTCCATGATCAGATGTTGCTTTCATGGAAATGCACCATTTTACTCAATTTACCTTTAGATATACATTGACAGACCATTGCTAAATATATATCAGCAAAAGATAATAAGGGCTTAGTTTTAGGGTTGGAAAAATTTGCAAGAGTCACAACTTGAAAAATGCAAATCACAGTTTGGATTATTCAGTTTAAATTCTTGGCTTTTGAAAGTCTGCATACAAAAATCCTAATAAATCTCAACTGCGTTCAAACTACCGCAAAAATGACTAGAAAGAAGCAACTGAGTAAAGAAACTAAAGTACAGATTTGTACATTGAGGAAAGAAGGATACACAGAAAGAGAAATTGCAAAACGCCTAAAGGTGTTTAAAGGGGACCTGCCATCAAAATTTCATACCCATTTTTATCATTTTTTCATAATCCTTGATGTCCTCTGATTATGTTTGCAACATAATTTTAGCTGAAAAGTTATTTGATGGTTTGTTTTAGTATGCCTAAAAAACCGTACAGGAAAACCAACTGATTTTGGCTCATTAACATTTATGGTAATGAGCTTTGCTCTGATTGGATCGCTGCTGTGAAGCCTGCTGTGCTCTGATTGGCTCAGCAGTGGAGGTCCTGATTTCGGTTTATCCATTTTGCTAATGTGTGCTAAAGTAAGATGCCCAGATGTCTGTAATGATCTCCGGGGATATTCGGTGCAGCGGCGGCGTACTATTTAGTAGCAGCGCATGCCCCTTGTAATAACCCCCTTAAAAACTGTTGTTCAGGACTGCTTACTTGTGCTTCCTACCTATTCGGCTACTGAATTGTTCGAGCCCACACGCAACATTTTTGCTCTCATTCATGAAACACTAAAATCGGGGACATTTTCGGGGACAGCTTTTGCCGGGGACAGGTCATCTAATACGGGGACTGTCCCCGGAAATCGGGGACGTCTGGTCACCTTATGCTAAAGGCTAAAAATGGCAGGTATTAAACCATATATTTTAGACCCCGAGTCCAAAGAGGAGGTGGAAGTTGAAGAAGAAGCCGGAGATCTCCAGCTGTGTTTTCTCATTCATTCTGCCCAGCTTTAAGTTCATTTTCCCGGCAGTGAACCCAAGGAAACACCGGTCGTTTGGAAGAGACCCATAGCGGATACAGTGGTAGCTGTGTCTCGCTCTGGCTGGAGGGTGATGTTGACTGAATGAGTACGAGAACGAGAGAGTGGGCACGGCTCACCGAGGACGCTCATGAATAATAATGAGCAAGGTCAGCGCGACGTCAGAGGGACCTGCTTTTTCAATTGGCCTGGTTTACCCGTTACTTTATTTTAAACCTTTACAGAATGCAAACGACGTAACTGTTTTTTTTTTCACATTTACAACATAAGACGAACATATTATGGACCTTATCTGACACAAAAAACACACAAAATTACATTTTGATGGCAGGTCCCCTTTAACAAAGGAGTCCACTACACTCTGAAGAGACAAGAGGAACCTGGAAGTTATGGTGATAGAAAAAGACCTGCACAAAAGAGAGTCACTACAAAAGCAGAGGATAGACATATTATTGTCATCGGTAAGAGAGATCGGCAAAAGACAGCACCACAAATAAGGGAGGAAATCAACATGACAAGGTCGAAACCCATATCTTTGACATCTGTGAAATGACGTTTGAGAGAGGCTGGTCTGAAGGGTTGTGTATCTGCAAATAAAACACTACTTCATCCACAGAACAAGAAAAAGAGATATGAGTGGGCAAAAGCTCACAAAAATTGGACTTATGATGACTAGAAACAAGTTTGCACTGTTTGGTTCAAAACGCAGAGTCTATGTCCGCAGACAAACTGGTGAATGTCTGAAAGCACCATGTGTTACACCCACAATTTAGCATGGAGGTGGTAGTTCCATGGTATGGGGATGTTTTGCAGGAGATGGAGAAGGAGATTTGTTTGAAGTAAAGGGTATCTCGAAGAAGGAACAGTACCTCTCCATCCTCCAGCACCATGCTGTTCCGCCTGGACTCAGACTTGTGGCTTATAAGTTTGTTTTGCAGCAAGACAATGACCCTAAGCACTCTGCCAAGCTCTGTCAGGGTTACCTAGACAAAAAAGAAGAGGAAGGTGTTCTTCAAAAGATGGTTTGGCCCCCTCAGTCTCCAGACCTTTCTCCAATTGAGCTTGTGTGGGATGAATTGGATCGATCGGTCAGAAAAATGCGTCCCACGAATCAGCAGTCTCTTCTTAATGAACTTAAGAAAGCTTGGAATGCAATCCCTGGAACATACCTTAAAAAAAACTTGTGGAACGAATGCCTGGTACATGCCAAGCTGTTGTTAAAGCCAGAGGAGGTTACTTTAAAGAAAGCAAAGTCTAAGCAAAATAACTCAAATACCTAATAATTATAGTCAAAATGTCTTCTGATAAATTACTATTTACACAATAGTCATGTTTATTGTGTTGCAAATTATATATATGAAACTATGATCTTTTTTTGTACAAATCTGATCTTGCTTCCAAACTTTTGGCCTGTAGTGTGTGTGCAGAATTGTGTGTATGTATGTGTGTATGTGTGTGTGTGTGTGTGTGTGTATATATATATATATATGATTTCGTTATTGTATCACTTATCATCACATAATCAATGTGATATTAATATATCACTATGTAATCTAGTTCATATTGCATCATGTATTCTATATTCTATTCTATTATATTATACAACTTAACTTTTATGCCATGTACATTATTTTACACTATTAGTATATTGTATAGATTATTATTATACAATTTAGCCTCCACAACCTTTGATGGAAATGGTATTTATTATTTATTACTCAATGACTTATCTTTTTTCATTTATTTATAAATTAATTTATTTTGTTTTATTTACTTATTAATTCAATCTTTTTTTTTTAATTTAATTTTCTCCATTTACATATATGGGGCAGAATACTTAATAACAGACCAGAAACTTGTGCTTAATTGCACACTTATGCTAAATCTATCTATCTATATATATATATATATATATATAAATATATGTACATATCAGTGGCGGCTGCTGGTCTTTCAAGGAGGGGAAGCTCATTTTTCTGGCCTACATCATAATTGTGTTTGTTTATTTGTATGTAACAGAACAGAGACGCCAAACACAACGGCAGTCGTTTTTAACAAAGACAAAAGTCGCTGAGGATCGGTGAAGTCTCTGGAGCAGTTAAGAACAACGGAATGAATAACTTGGAAAATGCTCTGGTAGATGTTTTATTCTTCAAGATCGCTGATTCGCTTGTTTAGCTGTCAATCAAAAAAGATTTCACCTCAGACAGCTCATCCAATCATGGATGCAGAAGCTCGGAGTCCGGGAGAAAGTTGGGACCGCCCTCTCGCCATAGAACTCCAGAGAAGCTGAGCGTCCGATGGGCGGGACAAAGCCCAGCATTTATCCAATGAGCGTCTAGTTTCGCTGCTGGAACAACCCACTTTGAGCTTCCACATTGAAGTCAGCAGAAGCCGAGCGTCCGGCTGTTTAAAGCGCTGAGGCGCTGCGAGGATGAATGAGAACGAAGTTGTGCAGAATCAGCTTCTTATCACAGTGTGATAAGAAACTGATTCTGAACAAAATATGAAGGCTGTCTAGCGCGTATTTAGTTAATGAAATGTACACACAGCAGTACGTATTTCCCCACTTTTTCTTTTTTTGGGGGGTGACATTTTAAGGGAAGCTGAGCTTCCCTTGCAGTCTTAGAGCAATCGCCACTGCTATTTTATTTAAAAATAGAGAATATTGTCTCCAACCAGCAACGCCACCTGGGGACTTGCACCCCAGGAAACTGAACTTTCAAACTAAAACAGGAAGCTAAAATAAGGATAAAGGCAACACAGGTAAGTTCTGAAGAGGCAGAGACAGAGTTCAAAATATTTCAAAATGTTTATTAGATAAAAAAAATGAAGTTAAACGTAAATATAACTGAGAAATTTAACCTAGGTGGGAAAGAAAGGGATAAAGTTAAAACAACATAACAAAACACAGATAAGGGGCAAGAAAGTTAAATTTTATTTCTATAATAAAATTTAAAACAAGGCCTTCTACAAAAGTTAAAAAGTACAATAACCCCAACTTAAACTAAATCAAAGAAACCCAAACTAAGTTAACTTAAGATAAGCTGAGGCCACCAGAAGGGAGGCAGACTACAGAGGGAAAGTGCAGGGGGGTGCTCCCTTATACTCACCAAGTGAAGCACAGCACACACACTGCAAACCTTCAACAAAAGAAACAAAATCGGTGTAGTCTTGTGACCCGGTGTCAAACTCATGCAAAGGTGGAGGGCCCTCACCCGGGGTGCCTAGCCTCCCAAACTAGTGGGCTCAACCTCTGAAATAAAATAAAAGGATTAACCAAAGAAACAAACAAACAACCCAGCAAACCCAGTTGGTAAAACTAGAGGGAACTAAGGAGAAAAGCAACTAAGGGTAACTAAGAACAGAATGCAAACTAATGGGGGAGTAACTATGTAAAACAACCAAACTTAGAAGTAGAAACAAACCAAGTAAGGGGGGAAACCAATCAAAAGGGCAGAAACAATCAAAGTAAACAGGCAAAAATAACTACAATTAATGGGGGCAACAAAACAGCAGCAGGTCTACCACCTACAAACAAAAAGGACATGCTGTTAAAAGCAATCATAAAACTCTAAAGATTAAAAAGTTACCAGCCACCCTACTCACCAGCACTCTGAGCAGATAAGAAGGCCGACTGCAGGTGAGCTGCTGCCTTTTATGCAGCTGACCTGATTAGGGGAAGGGAGGGGTTAGAGGAGGAGGGAGAGCTGCATTCAATAGCAGCAAGGTGCTGCCTGCCACAATCTGCCCCTGGGTTTTGAATCGGCGACCCGACGATTTACTCTTACTGCCATGGCCTAAAGACAAAGGCAGTATGCCCGGGAGTGTGAGAGTTCGTAGCCCCTATTGCCCTACTCTGTGCTGCCTGAGGGAGGTGATGTGGGTTAGGGTGTTGGCCAGCATTTGTGCGAGGGGTCCTGCGCTGGGATGCTCCACTGTGAGCTATAGGGTTTGTCTCCTCCAACTGCTGCTGAGGGTCTTGAGGAGCAGGTGGTGGTACAGCATATTCTGTGGGAGCTGCTAAGGGGGCCTGAGTCGGTAAAAGTTGACTTGTTGCTGGGGTTACCTCAGGAATCACAACAAACCATTCACCATCTGCTGAAGCTTCATTCTGGGGAGGAGGTTCAGCCACTTGGGGGGTCTCTGGTGGGTTGCAGTCGGTCACACCATCCACTTTACCTCTCAGCAGGCAGCGGTGGACATGCTTCACCTGGTCGAGGTTGTCAGCAGGAGCGATGGTGTACACTGATCCTCCAGCGGCTGGAGCCTTAAGTACTTTGTAGAGTATTGGGCCCCAGATGTCTTGGATCTTGTGCCGCCCCCTTGCTCCCACATCCTTCAGGAAAACAAGCTTGCCTTCTTGTAGGGGAGCATCCTTCACATGTCGGTCGTAGTTCTGTTTACGCTTTTCAGCTGCTGCCTCCAGATGCTGTCTAGCTGCCTCAAATGCATGTTGGAGTCGGGTTTGATGCTCTGTGATCCAGGCGTGAGTGCTGCCAGCTGTGGGTTCAGGTACTCTGCCCAGAAGGAAATCTACAGGTAAGTGAGGGTCTTGTCCAAACATTAGAAAATATGGGGACTCACCGGTGGATTGATGTGGTGTGGTGTTGTAGGAGAAGGTCACCTGAGGTAGGTAGCTGGCCCAATCCCTTTTCTTGGTTACTGGTAAGGTGCATCGGAGGTTGTGTAGTGTACGATTGAAACGTTCACATTGTCCATTACCAGCTGGATGATAGGGGGTGGTGTGACTCTTCTCTATCCCATACATGCTGCAGAGTTGTTTGATGAGGTGGCTCTCAAAGTTTCTGCCTTGGTCGGAGTGAATACGCCCCGGTACACCAAACCTGCAGAACCAATCATTGATGAGGACCTTAGCCACTGTTGATGCTAGCTGGTCTCGGGTTGGAACCGCCTGGGTGTATTTGGAGAAAACATCTGTCATAACAAGGACATTCTCAAACCCGTTCTTTGATGATTCCAGGATAGTGAAGTCCACGGCGAGGATCTGGTTTGGCCGGGATGCCAGTAAATGTCCCATATATGCACAGGCAGTGAGTTGAGTGTGCTTTGCCACCTGACAGCGTTCACACTTTTGGCACCATTCTTTGATGTCCTGGTGCATTCTAGGCCAATAGCACCGCTGGTGGACCAGATCTGTTGTGCGGTCCACACCTTGATGTCCCTGTTCATGATGTAATTGATGCAGAACCTCACTTTTTAGAGACTGTGGTAGCACCAGCTGCAACACCTCCTCTCCCCTGGGATGACAGACTCCGCAATGAAGAATGCCGTTTTTCTGTTCTATACGGCTCCATTGTCTCACCAATGTCAGGACATCCTTTGAGGCTTTCTCTCTTTCTGCTGCATTAGGGCCCCTTCCTCTGCTCCAAAACAGAAGAAAGTCACTGATTGTTGGATCAGCCTCCTGCAATGCACACAAATCAGAGTCAGTGAGAGAGGGGAATGCTGAAATGGTGGCCTGAGTGGCTCTTGTTACCTGGCCTGACTCAATAGCCTGCTGCAACTGCTCTGGAACTGGGAGGCCATGAGGTTCACAGCCTGCAGTTCTGCTGACTGGGTGCTGCCTGGAGAGGGAATCTGCATTTTTGTTAATTCGACCAGGCCAATACTTTATGGTGAAGTCAAATGAAGCCAGTTGTGCTGCCCAGCGTTGCTCTGTTGCTCCTAGTTTTGCTGTGGATAGGTGGCTGAGGGGGTTGTTATCCGTGTACACCATACACTTTTGTCCTAACAGATAGTCTCTGAATTTTTCTGTCATGGCCCATTTCAAAGCCAGAAACTCCAATTTCATGGAGCTATAATTGTCCATGTTACGCTCTGCGGGTTTGAGACCTCGGCTGGCATAAGCTACGGGTCGAACCTTCCCATTCTGTTCTTGTGAAAGGACAGCACCCAGCCCGCTATAACTAGCATCAACCTCCAAGATGAAGGGCAAGTTGAAGTCAGCATAGGCTAAAACAGGAGCAGTCACTAACCGTGTTTTGAGTTCCTCAAAGCTCCGCTCACACTCTGTAGTCCATGCAGCACTCAGACTCCTTCCTGTTGGTTTTTTAGATTTTGTTCCTGTCAACTCAGCCACTAGGTGATGCAAGGGGGCAGCCAGCTTAGCAAAACCTTCAATAAAGCGTCGGTAGTAGCTGGCAAATCCCAAGAAAGACCGCAGCTCCGAGACTTGGTCAGGGTGCTGCCACTTTGACACCACTTCTATCTTGTTAGGGTCTGTAGATACACCATGCCTGGATATTACATGGCCAAGGTAGCTCACCTCTGGTTTGAAGAATGTGCACTTCTCTAGCTTGGCTCTGAGATTCTCCTTTTGTAGGCGACCCAGCACAACATCCAAGCGTTTCACATGCTCCTCTACAGAGGAAGAGAACACAACCACATCATCCAGGTACAGTAACAATGATTGACAATGCTGATCTCCAAAGATTCTCTCCATTAATCTCTGGAAGGTACTTGGTGCATTGCATAACCCAAATGGCATGCGGTTCCACTCAAACAACCCAAATGGGGTGCAAAATGCAGTCTTCATTTTGTCCTTCTCAGTCACTGGTACCTGATTATATCCAGCAGCTAGATCCAAGGTTGAAAACCATTGGGCACCTGAGAGAGCGTCGAGGGATTCCTCTATGCGGGGCAAGGGAAACGCATCCTTTCGGGTCTTGCTGTTGAGGAGCCTGTAGTCCACACACAACCGGAGGCTACCATCCTTCTTTTTCACCAACACAATAGGAGAGGCAAAGGGGCTACTACTTTCTCTAATAACCTGGGCCTCTAAAAGCTGGTGAATGTGAGCCTTTGCTGCCTCATACTCTGAAGGGGGGATGCGTCTGTATCTCTGACGTACTGGGACCTCATCCACTAAAGGTATGTCATGAGAAATGAGGTTTGTGCATCCTATGTCACTTTCATGTGAAGAAAAGACACCACTGTACTTGTGCAACAAGGACCTGACTTGTACTTGTTCCTGTTCTGTAAGGGCCGTTAAATCAAGTGCATCAACCTTATCTTGCACTGAACTGGTCGCTGTCTGAGAAGAAAGTGTGGCTGCTACTTCCCCCTCTACCAGACCTGTGGGCGAGCTCACAAGGTGAACATTACTCAAGGTGCCAAGAACGGTTCTCGGGTACAGTACAACATCCTGGCTTCCAACATTTACAACAGGGATGTAAGCTGTGCCTCTGCTCACCTGAACGAGTGCTGGGGATGCTAGCAGACCTGCAGGCAAACCTGTGCTAAGGGGCTCAAACAAAACTTCCCCAAGGTGATGCTGAGAGCAGGTGGCTGCCACAATTTTTAGAGAACCCCCAGGAACTCTACAAACCCTCCCACCTTTCACCTTGACCCGACTGGAATGACCAGAAGGGGCAGCTGCTTGGGCCTGATGACACTTTTGAAAGGCCTGCTGAACTTGGATAGGGGCCTGCAACACAGAAGGTAAGTTAAACAGAGCAGGGCCATGAAGTACAAACAACTCCTGGTAACATTCCTTTATGATGTTCATACCAAGGACACCTGGAACTGAATGTTCACTGTGTGGGGGATCCCTGACCACCAAAACACCTCGCTTTGCTATGACTCTGCCGCACAGCTGAACATCTAACTCCAGGTATGCAATGTACGGTATGGCCAAACCATTAGCTGCACTCAATCTCAACCAATTACAACACTGGAGTTTGTCTGGACCCCATGGTTCAAAATGTTGAGCAAAGAAACTTTCAGTTATAGTTGACACCATTGAACCTGTATCAACCAGGCATGGAACTGAAACTCCCCCCATAAGTACAGCTAAGGTTGGGCAGACTTACACCAAGTTATCAGGATTATTAGCAGCAGAGTCTGAGCCTAAGGGGCCCCCACCTGAACTTTGGCTCAATGGTTCAGGGGGCGAAAGTTTCCCTGGTTCTGAGAGGGCTGTCTACCATTAGAGCGAAACTGCATTGAATGAACAGGAGGCTGTGGGGCTGGGAACTCTTCCTCACACTCCCTAGCAAAGTGGCCAGGCTTATGACACCTCCTACAAATGACATTTTTCCTGCGGCCATTTGGTTGGGTGTTTTGAACATCGTTTAAGGTGGCTAAACTTTGAGTTAGCTTATTCAGTTGCTCTTGCTGGTTTTTAAGGATTTCTTTCAGCTCACCTAACTCAGAATTGAAGGAGCTACCTGCCTGGCTATGATTGGGGTACCCTTGCTGAACAGTTTGTTGAAAACCAAAGACATTAGGCACAGAGTGGCTTCTACCCCTCCCACTGGTGGACAATCCCTCCTGCTCCCACCTAATAGCCTCACTGCGGACATCTATCAGGCTGGCTGTAGGGTGGCTTCTGACATATTGCTTCAGTTCTCTGCGAAGGGAGCAATCAACAACATGTTCAACAAATTGGTCTCTCAGTAACACATCTTTGTTAGGAAGAACATTTGGTGTCTTTTTATCAACCTTGTCCATTAGACACAATAAAGCATGTGAAAATTCTTGCAATGTTTCCCCATCTTGTTGTTTTCTAGAGAAAAACTCCTCTTGCAAAGACACATAAGACCTTGAACACCCATACAGTTCCTGTAATATAGCCAAAACCTTGTTTGGATCTTCCCGTTCCTGCTGAGGTCTGTACTTAATCTCTTCTCTGGCTTCCCCCTCTAAATGGTCAAAAAGGAAAAGTGCTTGCTCAACTGTGGACATATTTCTAGCACGGGTGCAAGCATGGACTTCTTCCACCCACTCAACAATGCTAATTCCAGTCCTGCCCCTAAACATGGGACATTTTCTCTCCCGAGGAAGGTAAACCAGTCTTTCAGTTACCATATTGTTAACTGTAGGGGGGCCAGATGTAGTTGAGCTTGAGGTGCTGGGCCCAGGAAGACTGGACTGCCACTCTTGACGCATGCGTTGATTCTCAGCCTGCAGCTGGGCGACCAGCTCCTTCAGTTGAGCGATTTCCTCCTCCATGGGGAAGCAGAGCAGAGGAGATTAGCAGAGTACCAGGGGTGCAGCACAGGGATCCCTCCGGACCTGCTGCTGTTTTGCCCCACAAACACAAAAATACCAATAGAAAAGGAAGAAAAAAAAAAAATCTACACCAACTGGGTTGCAAAAGAAGGAAAAATACACACGTCTCTGCCTTTAACAGAATCCTGCCGGCAACGCCAGAATGTGGCAAGGGGGTGCTATTTTATTTAAAAATAGAGAATATTGTCTCCAACCAGCAACGCCACCTGGGGACTTGCACCCCAGGAAACTGAACTTTCAAACTAAAACAGGAAGCTAAAATAAGGATAAAGGCAACACAGGTAAGTTCTGAAGAGGCAGAGACAGAGTTCAAAATATTTCAAAATGTTTATTAGATAAAAAAAATGAAGTTAAACGTAAATATAACTGAGAAATTTAACCTAGGTGGGAAAGAAAGGGATAAAGTTAAAACAACATAACAAAACACAGATAAGGGGCAAGAAAGTTAATTTTATTTCTATAATAAAATTTAAAACAAGGCCTTCTACAAAAGTTAAAAAGTACAATAACCCCAACTTAAACTAAATCAAAGAAACCCAAACTAAGTTAACTTAAGATAAGCTGAGGCCACCAGAAGGGAGGCAGACTACAGAGGGAAAGTGCAGGGGGGTGCTCCCTTATACTCACCAAGTGAAGCACAGCACACACACTGCAAACCTTCAACAAAAGAAACAAAATCGGTGTAGTCTTGTGACCCGGTGTCAAACTCATGCAAAGGTGGAGGGCCCTCACCCGGGGTGCCTAGCCTCCCAAACTAGTGGGCTCAACCTCTGAAATAAAATAAAAGGATTAACCAAAGAAACAAACAAACAACCCAGCGAACCCAGTTGGTAAAACTAGAGGGAACTAAGGAGAAAAGCAACTAAGGGTAACTAAGAACAGAATGCAAACTAATGGGGGAGTAACTATGTAAAACAACCAAACTTAGAAGTAGAAACAAACCAAGTAAGGGGGGAAACCAATCAAAAGGGCAGAAACAATCAAAGTAAACAGGCAAAAATAACTACAATTAATGGGGGCAACAAAACAGCAGCAGGTCTACCACCTACAAACAAAAAGGACATGCTGTTAAAAGCAATCATAAAACTCTAAAGATTAAAAAGTTACCAGCCACCCTACTCACCAGCACTCTGAGCAGATCAGAAGGCCGACTGCAGGTGAGCTGCTGCCTTTTGTTCAGCTGACCTGATTAGGGGAAGGGAGGGGTTAGAGGAGGAGGGAGAGCTGCATTCAATAGCAGCAAGGTGCTGCCTGCCACATATATATTAAGGCTGTCAAAGTTAACGCGTTATTGTCGCGTTAACTCAAGTGACTTTTACCGCCACTAATTTTTTTGACACACGATTAACGGAAGCCTTAGCCTGGCTTGATCAAACTATACACACACTGCATGGATATTCTTGCCGTTGTAAAAGGGTAGAGGAACAGTTGGTGAGGTGTCCAGGCTATGTGAGCCTCGGGGCACTCCGTAGTTTCGCGAATCAGGAAGTAGAGCACTGACTGATACCGCAGCAGGCATAAACAAATCCCCGTGAGCAGTAACTAGGATATAATGGATAAGAACACGATTTTGAACAGATAGTTCAGCTACAAAGCCTTGTCAGATGGCTCTCTTGACAGGACAAAAGTCATTTGTGTTTCCTGTCGAGCTGAATTTAGTCATCGGAGTACATCTAGTCTCAAATATCACTTGTCGGCCAAGCACACAGCTGATGAGCTGATGCAGAGAGCCCCCCCCCCCCCCCCCCCCCCCCGCCTCAAGCAAACAACGGTGAATGTGAAACAGAAATCGGACGATTAGCATTGTGCAGGACGTTGACTGGACATATTAATTACCTTGTAGGACCACCATTACCACGAAAATCCACGATCTGTTCTCATGTTGATTCTCATGTTGATAAAAGTAAAACAATTTAAAAAAGATCGATTTAGAATGGATCAAAAATATGCGATCAATTTGCGATTAATCATGATTAATTATGATCACAATTCGATTAATTGCGATTAAATATTTTAATCGATTGACAGCCCTAATATATATATATATATATTTACGTACATATGTATGTGTGTGTGTTTGTTTGTGTGTGTGTGTGTGTTTATAAAAATCTACTTATTTTTCTACTATTTATATATCCACTTATTTTTCATTTTATCTTCTATTATTATTATTAATATTATTCTCTCTCTCTCTCTCTCTCTTCTTTATTATAATTATTATTGTAATTATTATTATGGCATAACGCTAAGCTTTTCCTCTTTTACTCTCTTCTCAACAATTATCATAATTTAAAAAGAGGGGAAAATTCACACCCACAAACACACACACACACACACACACACACACACACACACACTTCTCGACACACAAATAAACACCCCTCCACCCACACTTTAAACACAGCCTTGCAACACTTTATAAATGTATGCAAAAGTTGTGTCCCTGCTGTACTAGTCACTTTGTCTTGTCCCCAATGTCTGTTTGTACTGTTTATATGTTGTCAACCACCTGTCATGATCTGTCTTGCATCACCCAATTAAAAAAAAAAAAAAGGAGAGAGACATTGTGCAGAAATGAACACTCTACTCTGGGTATTACTGTTAACCCCTGTCTCAAGCCACTGCTCTCCTCCACCTATCATGCATAAATATTCCTCAAGGATAGAGTGAGCACAAGAGTAAAAAGTGTACATTGTCTACTGTAAAAAAGTACTTCTTAACAGAGTGAAATTGGCATCCAGACAACCAGATAAGTTGTCATCTGATATCTCATTGATTACCTTGATGAAGATGTGAGTGACTTAATAAAGGAGCTTGAGTTGACTGCAATGACAGGCTTTTAGGATTCTTCCTACAGTAAATCTATAAAGTTGAAATTAGTGTTTCCAGTGATCACCTAATTTTCTATAAAAGTTACTGAATGGCACTCTGTGTATCAAAATGATTTAATCGTTTATCTAAAAACTTGGGATTATTCTGTAAACCTAATGCAGCAAATAACATGTAGTTCTCAAGTAAACAGGCTCTCTCAGTGTTAAAACAAACTCTTGAAAACACCAGACTGATTCTAGTTGAGTAACATTTTTGGTGGGTACATAAGTGCTACTCCTTTTTTTCCTTTATTTAAACCAAAGTAAGCCCCCCTTATTAAACTCTTACACAGTTGTTGTCCACTGATGATGGTACTACTGGTGTTGCTGCTGTTAATATTTTTTAAAAAATATGTAACTTAACATAACCTATGTAAAATACATCACCAAATGAACCATAACTTTCTGGTTTTATTTTGTAGTGTGAGCCTTTTCAGTTCAAGGAAGAATGTCATCAAACTGGACAACAGCTTAGTATGGTCAGTAAAGCTTTTTGTTTTTGCCGCTGACAGGTTCAGATTCTAACAACGATTTTGAGTTGGGTTACTCCAGAGATGTTTTTTTTTTGTTTTTTTTTGTAGTTGTTGTTGCTGTTATTAGGGCCCGAGCCAGCTGCAGAGCAGCCGGGCGTAGGCCCTGTTATTCCTGTAGGGGTTTTTTAGGGCCCGAGCGTAGCTGCTAAGCAGCTGCGAGAGCCCTCTTGTTCCTGTAGTTTCCTTCTTTAGGGCCCGAGCGTAGCTGCTAAGCAGCTGCGAGAGCCCTCTTGTTCCTGTAGTTTCCTTCTTTTGTTATTATTATTATTATTATTTTTCCTCCCCTTTGACCTGGAAAATGGCCCACTTCCCACTGGCGAAAACTCATGAAATTTGGCAGGACGACCGGGCCTGGTGAAAAATTTGATATTCCGAAGTCGCCCAAACAAGAAAATGCAAAATGGCTCCATAGCGCCCCCTAAGGTGAAAATTCACACTATTCACTGTCACGCCGGTACGCTTTGTCAAAATGACACAAAAATTGACACACACATGTATCTCAATAAGATCTACAAAAAAGTCAGTGCGGGCGTATCTGTCAAATGTACGGTTAAAGGGTTATTGCGCATTTTTTGCCGATCCGCACACATTGGAATTTCGCTAACTCCTCCGAAGGCTTTCGTTCCACCGGCACCACATTTGCTCAGGCCAATCTACACCCCATGGCCATTAAAAGTTATTCAAATCATGACGCTGCACCCCACGGTTTAGGTTCTAGGGGGCGCCAAAGATAACCCTAAGATCCACATATTTAAAAGTCTTATAACTTTTTATTTTTGCCCTCACTGGCCTCCAAGTTTTCTAGGATGATGCAATGTCCAGCCATCAACACATTTGTGAAGGAATTTTTACTCCCCAAAAGAGCGCCCCCCCATGGCAGGAGAAAAAAGTCCATTTTTTCTTGTCCCCTAAGGTGAAAATACACATTGTTGAGTGTAACACCTGTACGCTTTGGCAAAATGACACAAAAATTGACACACACATGTATCTCAATAAGATCTACGAAAAAGTCAATGCGCGCGTATCTGTCAAATGTACGGTTAAAGGGTTATTCCGCATTTTTTGCCGATCCGCACACATTGGAATTTCGCTAACTCCTCCGAAAGCTTTCGTTCCACCGGCACCACATTTGCTCAGGCCAGTCTACACCCCATGGCCATTAAAAGTTGTACAAATCATGACGCTGCACCCCACGGTTTAGGTTCTAGGGGGCGCCAAAGATAACCCAAAAATCCACATTCTTAAAAGTCTTATAACTTTTTATTTTTGTCCTCACTGCCCTCCAAGTTTTCTAGGATGATGCAATGTCCAGCCATCAACACATTTGTGAAGGAATTTTTACTCCCCAAAAGAGCGCCCCCCCATGGCAGGAGAAAAAAGTCCATTTTTTCTTGTCCCCTTACATGAAAATACACATTGTTGAGTGTCACGCCTGAACGCTTTGTCATATTGACACAAAAATTGACAATCATGTGTATCTCAATTAGATCTACGAAAAAGTCAAAGAGCGCGTATCTGTATAATGTATGGTTAAAGGGCTATTTCGCATTTTTTGCCGATTCGCACACATTGGAATGTGGCTATCTCCTCCTAAGGCTTTCGTCCCACTGATACCAAATTTGCTCAGGGCAATCTACACCCCATGCCCATTCAAAGTTGTAAAAATCATGACGCTGCACCCCACGGTTTACGTTCTAGGGGGCGCCAAAGATGACCCAAAAATCCACATTCTTAAAAGTCATTTTGGCCACTGCAGGAGTACAGAGTACTGCAGTTCTAGGGGGCGCCAAAGATGACCCAAAAATCCACATTCTTAAAAGTCTTTTTGGCCACTGCAGGAGTACAGAGTACTGCAGGATACACACACATATACACACACGCCAACACACACACACACACACACACACACACACACACACACACACACACACACACACACACACACACTCAGAGTCTGTTTTTTAGCACCTGCAAAAACATGCTGTTTACATATTTGACAAGAATGCAGAGGCTCCTTTTGCCCCTGAAAAAAATCAAATTTCAAACACAACTTGACTGTTCATTTCTCCAAAAGACAACCATGAAGCTCCATCCAAACCTGAAGCAGATAGTTGGTGCATGTGTACAGTAACCTGAGGGGAGTGAGGTGACTATTTCTGAGGAGAACATGAGCAGTGAAGATTCACCTTGGAGCTAGAACAGGGACGTGCACATGATTATACAGGGGCAGGGGCTCAAGTTTTTTCCAGTCATTTATACAATATGGAAATTAATGTGAAATTAAAAAACAAAGTATTAATAGAAAGGTTATGACTGTCCTGTGTAGATGACAGTGATATCCAATAGGCTAGGCACTCACGAGGCTGGCTGTGGCAAGTGTAAGTGAAAGCAACACGCACTGGCAGGAAGAACAGCAAACGCCGATGAAGGAAAGGGTCTTTGCAGTGATGGGCGTTACCAGAGAGGACGATGGCCAGAGGACACAAATGGGACGGGGAGGCAGCACGTTGGGGGGGGGGGGGGGACGCGACACGGCTCGGGCCCGCCAGTGCCCCAACGGGGTCCTAGTTTGTTATTATTATTATTATTTTTCCTCCCCTTTGAACTGGAAAATGGCCCACTTCCCACTGGCGAAAACTCATGAAATTTGGCAGGACGACCGGGCCTGGTGAAAAATTTGATATTCCGAAGTCGCCCAAACAAGAAAATGCAAAATGGCTCCATAGCGCCCCCTAAGGTGAAAATTCACACTATTCACTGTCACGCCGGTACGCTTTGTCAAAATGACACAAAAATTGACACACACATGTATCTCAATAAGATCTACAAAAAAGTCAGTGCGGGCGTATCTGTCAAATGTACGGTTAAAGGGTTATTTCGCATTTTTTGCCGATCCGCACACATTGGAATTTCGCTAACTCCTCCGAAGGCTTTCGTTCCACCGGCACCACATTTGCTCAGGCCAATCTACACCCCATGGCCATTAAAAGTTATTCAAATCATGACGCTGCACCCCACGGTTTAGGTTCTAGGGGGCGCCAAAGATAACCCTAAGATCCACATATTTAAAAGTCTTATAACTTTTTATTTTTGCCCTCACTGGCCTCCAAGTTTTCTAGGATGATGCAATGTCCAGCCATCAACACATTTGTGAAGGAATTTTTACTCCCCAAAAGAGCGCCCCCCCATGGCAGGAGAAAAAAGTCCATTTTTTCTGGTCCCCTAAGGTGAAAATACACATTGTTGAGTGTAACACCTGTACGCTTTGGCAAAATGACACAAAAATTGACACACACATGTATCTCAATAAGATCTACAAAAAAGTCAATGCGCGCGTATCTGTCAAATGTACGTTTAAAGGGCTATTTTGCATTTTTTGCCGATTCGCACACATTGGAATGTGGCTAACTCCTCCTAAGGCTTTCGTCCCACTGACACCAAATTTGCTCAGGCCAATCTACACCCCATGGCCATTCAAAGTTGTAAAAATCATGACGCTGCACCCCACGGTTTACCTTCTAGGGGGCGCCAAAGATGACCCAAAAATCCACATTCTTAAAGGAATCCACATCCCCCCCAAGGCAGGAGAAAAAGTCAAGTTAACCCTGCCCATCGCTCAATGGCTCAATCGCATCGCTCTCCAGGCAACACCGTAAGGAGGAGCAACCTGCCATTTCGATATATCATAGCTGTGTTTGTGCCCTCACTCATGGTCCAGACTTTTTTCAAATAGGACATGAAGTTTGTCTGCAGCGAGTGTTTTGGTAGAAACTGCGCCTCCCATTCATTATAATGGGAAATGACCACAGACAAGTGCGCACACCATCTTTGGACCTTGAGTGTGACGCGATCGGGAGGGGGAGGCGGTCGCGCTAGGGGCGGCGCGACGCGGCTCGGGCCCGACAGTGCCCCACCGGGGCCCTAGTCTTTGTTTCTTTCTTTCTTCTTTTTCCTCCCCTTTGAACTGGAAAATGGCCCACTTCCCACTGGCGAAAACTCAGGAAATTTGGCAGGACGACCGGGCCTGGTGAAAAATTTGATATTCCGAAGTCGCCCAAACAAGAAAATGCAAAATGGCTCCATAGCGCCCCCTAAGGTGAAAATTCACACTATTGACTGTCACGCCTGTACGCTTTGTCAAAATGACACAAAAATTGACACACACATGTATCTCAATAAGATCTACAAAAAAGTCAGTGCGGGCGTATCTGTCAAATGTACGGTTAAAGGGTTATTTCGCATTTTTTGCCGATCCGCACACATTGGAATTTCGCTAACTCCTCCGAAGGCTTTCGTTCCACCGGCACCACATTTGCTCAGGCCAATCTACACCCCGTGGCCATTAAAAGTTATCAAAATCATGACGCTGCACCCCAAGGTTTAGGTTCTAGGGGGCGCCAAAGATAACACTAAAATCCACATATTTAAAAGTCTTATAACTTTTTATTTTTGTCCTCACTGGCCTCCAAGTTTTCTAGGATGATGCAATGTCCAGCCATCAACACATTTGTGAAGGAATTTTTACTCCCCAAAAGAGCGCCCCCCCATGGCAGGAGAAAAAAGTCCATTTTTTCTTGTCCCCTAAGGTGAAAATACACATTGTTGAGTGTCACGCCTCTACGCTTTGTCAAAATGACACAAAAATTGACACACACATGTAACTCAATAAGATCTACGAAAAAGTCAATGCGCGCGTATCTGTCAAATGTACGGTTAAAGGGTTATTCTGCATTTTTTGCCGATCCGCACACATTGGAATTTCGCTAACTCCTCCGAAGGCTTTCGTTCCACCGGCACCACATTTGCTCAGGCCAATCTACACCCCATTCTCTCTTTAATCTATCAATACATCTGTTTGTTTAAAAGTATATCTGATAGTTTTCACCAAGCACCATCTTTATCTCCATTTCGGGTGATCTCTCTGGTGGTTTACTTTACTTTACTAGCTGGTAGCTTCTCTTAGCTTAGCTTCTCTTAGCTTCACTTGCTAACAATGGCTGCCCCCTGGTCTCCTGCTTCTTCTGCTCGCTTCCGCTCAGTGTGTCAGATGTTTAGTTACTCTTCATCCTCCTTAGACGATAACGATACCTGCTTTAAGTGTAGGCAAAGGCTAAATGTAAATTCCGTAAGATTGTAATATATGTCGGCGTTAATGACTCCTGGCGCCGCCAGTCGGAAGTCACTCAATTGAACGTGGAATCGGTGTGTGAATATGCCAAAACCATGTTGGACTCCGTAGTTTTCTCTGGTCCCCTGCCTGATCAGACAACTGATGAGATATGTAGCCATATCTCATCATCCAACCGCTGGCTGTCGAGGCGGTGTCCGCAAAACGGCGTGGGCTTCATTGATAATTGGAAGTCGTTTTGGGGCAAGCCTGGTCTGATTAGTTAGGACGGCATTCATCCCACTCGAGATAGAGCGGCCCGTTTATTCAGAAATCTGGCTGATTTTATTAGTCCGAAACACTGACAATTCAGAGCAGAGATCAGGGAGCAGGGCCACAGTCCTACACGCCCCCCTGCGCCTCCTTTAGAGCAGCTTCCCAGCCACTATCACTTATATACAGAGACAAGGGAGCAGAGCTGCAGTCTTAAACGCTCCTCTGTACTCCCCTCAGAGCAGCCTCCTAGCTACAATCAGTTTGATATAGAGATCAGGGAGCAGAGCCGCAGTCCTACACGCCCCTCTGTACTCCCTTCAGAGCAGCTTCATAGCTACAATCAGTTTGATATAGAGATCAGGGAGCATAGCCGCAGTTCTACACATTCCTCTGCACTTTTGTTCAGAGCAGCCTCCTAGCTACTGTCACTTTAATATAGAGACTGTGTCTGTCCCTCATCCTTGGCTCTTTAATTCTAACCGATCGATTAACAAAAGAGTAAATAACAAGAACCTTTCTAGAATTAAAACTGGTAACATAGCTGAACCGAGTAGTAGTAAGATAAAATGTGGTCTACTGAACACAAGGTCTCTAAGTTCCAAAGCTGTGTTAATAAATGAACTAATCTCTGATCATCGCATTGATTTACTCTCCCTAACCGAAACTTGGTTGCGTCAGGATGAATATGTCAGCTTGAATGAATCCACTCCTCCTAGCCACCTAAGCTTTTACATTCCTCGGGCCTCTGGCCGAGGTGGTGGAGTTGCAGCTATTTACAATTCCAGTCTTTGAATTAACCCAAGACCGAAACTGGAGTATACCTCTTTTGAAAGTCTTGTTCTCAGTCTTCAGCCTCAAAGACCATGAGACCACTGGTATTTGCTATAGTTTATCGCCCTCCCAGCCCATACTCTGAGTTTTTGTCAGAATTCTCAGAGTTTCTATCTGATCTAGTCCTTCGTGCAGACAAAGTCATTGTAGTTGGTGACTTTAATATTCATGTGGATGTGGAAAATGATAGTATGGTATCTGGAGTTCTACATCAATATGCATTGCCTTACGGTATTTCTCAGGAATAGCCTTAGAACCAATTGTGGAATGTGGGCTTGTGTTTTTCTTGTGTCTCGGTGGTACCTGGGTCGGGATATCCTGGAAGGGGCACGTTTGCAGGTCACAGGTCGCAAAGCAAAACTCTAGGTTAACCAAAAACCAGATGGTAATGAAAGATATCTTGGGGACAAAGAAGGGATGTAGGAGGGCTTACATCCCTAACCGTATATAACAGGGTCATTAACTCTGGTTGGGAGAGCTGGACATCATTGGCAGTCCTCTCCCAGCAACTGCAGTGCTGTTCTGATACTGGTGTTGTCTTTATAATAAACTCCTCTTATACAAGCAAGCCAGTGTCACGAAACCTCCTTCTGCATCTTCACATCGAGGACAGCCCAGACACAACAATAGCCTAAGCTATTCTTTCTTGTCCTTGCTAGACTCAATTGGGTTTACATAGTGTGTACATGGACCTACACACTGCTTTAACCACACCCTCGATCTTGTCCTGGCTTGAAGCTGAAGCCTTGTCAGTCAGCTCATTGAATCCTCTTTTATCGGATCACTTTCTAGTAACTTTTGAATTTGTGCTTTCAGGCTACTCTCCTCATAACAAAGCCGTGCTAACAAGAAGGTTGTCTGAAAATGCTGTGACTAAGTTCAAGGAGGCAAGTCCATCTGCTCTTAATTCTGTGCTTGAGAAGAACTTCGCTGATAGCTCATACTTGAACATCATTCCCTTGCAACTTGATCAGTTCGTCGATGATACCTCAGGCACATTGCGATCAATTCTTGACGCAGTTGCTCCTCTTCGACAGAAAACACTTACACGCGAGAGGCTGGCTCCGTGGTATAATGCTGAAACCCGTGAGCTGAAACAGTTATTAAGAAGACGAGAAAGGATTTGGCGCTCTTCCAAAACAGCTGAAGCTCGTTTTCTCTGGCAGGAATGTCTTGATAAATATAAGAAGGCCTTACGACGTGCTCATACAACTTACTACTCATCTCTTATTGAAGAAAATAAGAATAACCCCAGATATCTCTTCAGCACTGTAGCCAGGCTGACGGACTGTAAGAGCACTGCTGAACCGTGTATCCCAGTAGCCCTCAGCAGCGACGACTTCTTGAGCTTCTTCAATGAAAAAATCTTAAAAATAAGAGGTCAAATTGGTAACCTCTTGCCTTTGTCAGGTGTCTTTCTCTTAGATAACCCTGAAATTGTTGAGGAACCCCTAAGGCCTCTGATGCACCTTAGTAACTTTGCACCTATTGACCTTCCTGACTTATAGTCAGTGGTGCTGGCAGCCAAACCATTTACGTGTCTTTTGGACCCAATTCCATCTAAACTGCTGAAGGAAACTCTTCCTTTGATCAGTACGTCCTTGCTTAACTTGATCAACATGTCTTTATTAACAGGATATGTTCCCCAGTCTTTTAAGACTGCATTGATTAAGCCTCTCCTTAAAAAAGTAACTCAAGTACCTACTCTTGACTCAAGCATCCTAGCTAACTATAGACCAATATCCAACCTTCCTTATATTTCTAAAGTCCTGGAGAAAGTAGTTGCGAATCAACTTTGTGATTTTCTTCATAACAACGGTTTATTGGAGGATTTCCAGTCTGGATTTAGAACCCATCACAGCACGAAGACTGCTCTGCTGAAGGTGACAAATGACCTACTCATGGCTTCGGACTGTGGTCTTCTCTCTGTTCTTGTCCTGTTGGATCTTAGTGCTGCATTTGACACGATCAACTACCGCATCCGGCTTCAGAGACTGGAACAATATATCGGCATAGAAGGATCTGTTCTTTCCTGGTTTAAATCTTATCTAACGGATTGATCCCAGTTTTTCCATGTTAATAATGAATCCTCTGCGCACACCAAGGTCTGCTACGGAGTCCTGCAAGGGTCAGTGCTTGGACCAATCCTCTTTACCTTGTACATGCTTCCTCTGGGTAAAATTATGAGGAAGTACTCGATTAATTTCCACTGCTATGCAGATGACACCCAGTTATGTTTATCCATGAAGCCAGAAGAAGCAAACCAGGTTATCAAATTCGAAGCTTGTCTCAAAGATATAAAATCCTGGATGACCAATAACTTTCTGATGCTCAACTCAGACAAAACTGAAGTTCTTGTCCTCGGTCCTAAACACCTTAGAGAGGCATTCTCTAATAATATAGCTATGCTAGATGGCATCAGTCTGGCATCCAGCCCACTGTGCGAAATCTGGGAGTTTTATTTGATCAGGATTTGTCCTTTAGCTCCCACATTCAACAAATGTCTAGGATAGCTTTTTTCCACCTGCGCAATGTCTCAAAAATTAGACCCATTCTGTCTCAGAGTGATGCGGAAAAAAATGGTCCATGCCTTTGTTACCTCTATGCTGCAATTCTCTCTTATCAGGCTGCTCCAGTAAGTCTTTAAGGACTCTTCAGCTGGTCCAAAATGCAGCAGCTCGGGTATTGACTAGAACCAGAAGAAGGGAGCACATCTCTCCTGTCTTAGTCTCTCTTCTTTGGCTCCCTATTGAATCTAGAATTGAGTTTAAGATCCTCCTTATGACATATAAAGCGCTTAACGGCCAGGCTCCATCATATCTCGACGAGCTTGTCATACCTTACTTTCTGTCTAGACAGTTACGCTCACAGTCTGCAGGCCTGCTTGTTGTACCAAATGTCTCTAAAAGTAGTATTGGAGGAAGAGCTTTCAGGTACCAGGCACCTCTCCTCTGGAATCATTTACCGCTCGAGGTTCGGGGGGCAGACACCCTCTCAACTTTCAAGAGTAGACGTAAAACGTTCCTCTTTGATAAAGCTTATAGTTGGGGCTGATTTGAACCAGCTCTTAGTTATGCTGCTATAAGCCTAGACTGTCGGGGTTATCTGGCACACTGAGCTAGAGTCTGTCTCTATCTCTCCTTTAGATCTTTATGTCCCATATAAGTCACTAACCAGATTTCTGTCCCTCTGAGTGTCTCTGAGTCTCTTAGCTTCCACTGGACTAATGCTGCAGACGGTCTGCTGCGGAACTGCCTGATCCCAGCTGCAACATCCTTGATTGACCACCTTAGGCCCTGAGCTCCTCCATCTCTTAGGCTCCTCTGGACCATTGCTGCAGACACGTACGTCAGCCTATCTGACATCTATGAAATAAAACTTGAGTTTTAACTTTAATCACCTTAAATTAATTTAGCATAGTCCATAATTAGTTACTTCATTACCCTGTACATTAAAGTCATTTTCTCTCATCAAATTGCTAACCAGATCTCTCTGTATGTCTCTGAGCCCCAGCCCCCTAGGTTGCTCTGGACTGATGCTGCAGACCTGCCTGACTCTAGCCGCATCGTCTACGATCGTCCGCCTCAGGCCCTGAGCTCCTTCTTCTCTTGGATTCCTCTGGACTGTTACTGCAGACATGAACATCAGCCTCACTGACATTAATAACATAAAACTAGAGTTGACTACTATTAGGCCTGCTGACTGTAATCACATTTAATTAATTTAACATAGTCCATAATTACTCATATCCTAACCCTGTAAACTGAGCTCATTTTGTTTCAGCATTACATGAGCTGTTGTTGTTGTTGTTGCTGTTGTTTCTGCTGTCCCCTGTCTCTCTCTCACCCTCGTTCTCTACTCTCTCTCCCTCCTCCTCCCTCTCCTTACTCATTCTCTCCCCCCTTCCCTTATCTTGTTCTCTCTCTCTCCCCCTGCCCTCTCCCCTCTTCTCTCTCTCTCTCTCCCTCTCTCTCTCTCTCTCTCCTTTTATCTCTCTACATTCCTCCCCCACCAAGCAGCGGCATGGTGGCTGACTGGCATGAGTCAGGTCCTGCCCAAGGTTTCTGCCTGTTAAAAGAAAGTTTTTCCTTGCCACTGCTATTCATGTTAGATGAGATGGGCCAAAACCCATCTTAGGTTGGTTCTTGATCATCAAACAATGAGCATGGTCTAGACCTGGGGTCCGTTTCACGTAGGTGGTTCAACAAACTCTGAGTTAAATCCTTAACTCTGAGTTGATCTACTCTGAGTTAGGAAACTCTGAGTTTTCGGTTTCACAACACCTGATTTGAGACGGTTTTAACAACTCCGAGTAGTTTGACCTGGAGTTAAGCACGTGCACGCCAGACATAAACAGCCAGCATCTGTGGAGCGCAGATTCAATGATCAACCAATGGAAACAAGGAGAAGGAGGGGGCAGCAGCAAGCCAACAGCGAATTACAGCACGTTTTTAAAAGAAAGTGCAATACAGCAGCAGCTGCAAAGCAGAGGGAGAGGGCATGGGAGGAAATCGCTGCTCGCGTCAATGCGTAACTTTAAATCTAGTCTCGTGCAATCACAATGACAGACTGTTGCAGGGAAACTGCTTGAATCATTTTGATCATGTTTTACATTGTCAAGTAAGTATTAAGTGGCAGTTTGATCCCTTAGAAAATGCTCTTTTCACACTTAAAACTGAATTTTACTCTCTTATGATGTTCCGTTAAATGATTAGGAATATTAAACTAACTCTCAGTATGTATATGTACATATATTAAACTAACACACACTACACTCAATATTAGACTTTCACTCAGCAAACAGAAAGAGGGCAGATGCCAGGAAAACGGGTGGTGGCCCAGCAGCCCCACCTTTAACGGAGGCAGAGGAGCTGCCCCCCCCCCCTCGACGATCGCAACCCCCACCCCGGAGCAGCGATCGTCGGACTAGTGTGCGTGTGTGTGCGTGTGTGTGTGTGTGTGTGTGGGGGGGGGGGGATTTGCGATCGGACCGGCCGCGATCGTCGAACGGGGGGGGGTGGGGGGGGGGGGGGGTGGGGGGGTGTGGGGGGGGGGCACCTCCTCTGCCTCCGTTAAAGGTGGGGCTGCTGGACCACCACCCGTTTTTGTGTTAGTTTAATATTCCTAATCATTTAACGGAACATAATAAGAGAGTAAAATTCAGTTTTGAGTGTGAAAACAGCATTTTTTAAGGGATCAAACTGCCAATTAATACTTACTTGACAATGTAAAACATGATCAAAATGAGAAAATGCCGATGTCTCACCTGAAACTCTGGGTTTACTGAGTTAAACCTGCTCCCGAGCAGGTTAGGTTCACGGAGTCTGTTACTGTGGTAACTGACCGCGAGGTTGAGTTACCTCTCTTTGTGAAACAGGTTAGAGTTACCCCTCTCTCCCTGGTTTAACTAACCCTCCTTTGTGAAACGGAAAACTCAGAGTTTCCCTGATTTCAGGGTTAACAAACTCGGAGTTTCCATTAAACCTGCTACGTGAAACGGACCTCTGCTCTTGTTCTTTGAAAAGCGTCTTGAGATGACGACTGTTGTGAATTGGCGCTGTATAAATAAAATTTGATTTGATTGGTTGATTGAGAGCTAGGATGTGGAGAGCATTTAGAAATACATTTCCAACAAATGTACATCTTGATAATATTTTCATTAAACCACTCAGGCTACAGGAAAATCCAAGGACTTATTCATCAAGGGCTCATCAGATCTGGAGAAATGTTACAGGAAATCCAGATTTGCACCAAATGGAACAGTCCATTTTGTAAGCTAAAATACAGAAAGGGTTGCCCCAGCCATTGAGAAGTAAATTGGCAGAGGTGATTGGTCTTGGTAGTATGACAAAAGGTGTATACACAGACCATATATCACGTCAAGTTGAGCTATACAGCAGGACTGTATGTTAACTTTTTTGTCCATAGTGCTGGTGCTACAGAGGTTGACAATCTTATAGCATAAGACAAAAACTTGTGGCACAATATATGACAGAAAGAAACAGGTTGTGTTACTGGCAAAGGACATGTTTTACATATTGGATACAGTAAATCAAATCCAAGTGTTTTCGGAAACCTTTTCTTTATTTGTCCATAGGACATCAACAAGGCATGGATATTGACATTACATTTTTAAGTCTGTATGATTAAATAACACATTCTCTTAATTAGCCATTGGAAACAACAAATGTATTACACTGATACAAAATATGATTTTCATTTAATAAGAAGAAAAGATAAAAATGTATGTTAGAGAGAATGAAACTGATTTGCAACCCATTCAAACTAAACTCAAAAACTCTTCCCACCTCATCTACTAATTCAACCAAATCAGCTAAACCAGCTTAATGTTGAGCTTAAATGCTAATATTTATATATAGAAAATTATGAAGATATATGAACAGAATTGAAATGTAAAAACATGCAGCCAGTAGAGTACTATGATCCCACACTGATTTTGAGTCAATTGATTGCATTACCTGCATGCTGCATTTTTAAATTATTAAATATTAGCATTTTAACTCAGTAGTTCCAGGTCATGTGATCAATTGACTCAAAAATAGTGTGGGATCAAAGCATCCTACTGGCTGCTTGAAATAGGCCTCTTGTTTTTACTTTTTAAATGTCTGAAAAGATTTAACAAATACATCTCATGGTGATACTTGGCACCCTCAGGCCATGTCCCTTTAACAATATATCATAAATTCTCACTCTGTGTGCGCTTGTGTGTGTGTATGTGTGGGTGAGTGAGGGTCGAGTTTTTATTGTTGTTAAATTATTGTTTTTAGCCTCTGTGAGGCACTTTGAATTATATTTTTTTGTCTGAAAAGTGCAATACAAATAAAGTTGAATTTGAATTTTACCTGTGATACCGTCCCTTTAAGAAATGTTTCCTTTTTTCTACTCAGGCATAGTTAAGACAGCTAATGAGGGGCCTAATCCCACATGTTGTCTACTGGATAGTAGACACACCTGATAGTATGAAGCGTGTATGTGTTTGTAAGGAATGTAAGTCTAATTGCATTTTCATTTGATGGATAGTTTGCATATATTTACGTTATTTGGCCTAAATTATAATTAATTTCTTTTATCATGGCTTATGTTTGTGAGCCACAGCTTATGTGCATTATACATGTTATGTATCAGATACTGGTTATTATAAATCAGTTTACAAATTCCTGATATTCCCTTTCTGTTGTCAGCAACCATACATACATACATACATACATACATACATACCTGTATTCTATGCTTATCAGGACCTTGAATGAATGTTGTAAAACGCATACCTGCCTGTTCCTGTACCATACCTGTCTTTACCAATGCCCCACAGTAGATAGTCAAATCCTTTATCCTGATCCAGCCATCTACCTCATCCTACTAACAGTCCTTAACAGCGAGTATTCAAACTCCTTGACATTAGAGGACTGCAGGTGAGGAAAGCCACCAAGAACATCCTTGAGGTTGCACTGGCCTGACACCAAGACATTGCGTGAGGAAAGAGCTACTTGTGGGGAACACTGGATAAGAAAGAAAGAAAGAAAGAGAGAAATGGTAAAAAGAAAGATAAACTAAAACAAGAAAATAATATTAAATGAACAAATAAGTAAGAGCTCTTTATCATATAAAAGGGGTAAAAGAAGTAAAATCCTCCAAGGATGAAGTTAAGAAAAAAGACTAAGAACAGAGATAATTAATAAGGTTACATAAAAGAAACAAGAACTTCAATTAAAATGAACATTTGCAATGAGAGAAATATGAAAAGGCAATCATTGAAAAGCCTGGTAAAAAGGTGAGGGTCCACGAGGGTTGATATGATCAGATAGATAAAGAATAATGAATAAATCAGATAAATAAGAGGGGCCAAGACCATTAATACATCTAAAAACTAATAAAAGAACCTTAAAATCAATCCTGAAACGGACGGGGAGCCAATGCAGCGATGCTAAAACTGGGGTTATATGCTCTCGCCCTCTGGCCCTTGTCAGCACTCTTAGCTGAATTTTGTAATAGCTGAACTGTATGCAAGTTCTTCTTGGGGAGGCCAGAGAGCAGGGCATTACAATAATCTAAACGAAAGGAGATAAATTCATGCATCACCACCTCTGTGCTGGCCTAGGAGAGAAACGGGCAGACTCTGACTATATTTTTAAGGTGGTTAAAACCTAAGTTTGCTATGTTTTTGATATCTGGAATAAAACTGAGCTCAGAGTCGAAAATTACGCCCAGGTTTTTTTTTTAAATTCACTTTTTATTTGAAAGGCACTTAGATTCCTTAAATGCACAGTGCACAAAACATCTCTTGTGACTGTTAAAACATTGCAAGATTTATTAGAAGTATTCATATCACATTTTGATGATTCCTTCCACTTTGCTCTTGGATGTTTAACTGCAGAAAGTCTCAGTGTCTTTATCCATGGTGCCTCTCAAGTTTTTCATGTCTATATTGGTCATCGTTGTAACACGTCACAAAAACAAAAACAGAACCCAACAGGGAGCACACACTGACATCATTAGTTGTTAAAGGTATTTTAGCTTTCAAAGAGAAAAAAAAGAAAGAAAAAAAAAGGGGGTTCATCCCAAATTTAGACAAAATCTGATCTTCTAGGTTTCACATATTCCGACCATACCTGATAAAAATTTTCACTTCCTAATTTGAGGGAAAATGACAGTTTTTCCATAATATAAATCTCATGTGTAACATCCATCCAGTCCTCAATGTTTGGTGGGTCTGCCTTAAACCATTTTCTTGCGATAGATTTTTTACTAGCTGCCAGTAAAATACTCAGAAGTTTCCTGTCATTAAAATTCCAACTCTCAAATTGTATTTCACATAAGTACATTGATTCAAAATTAAATACGACGGTTGTACAAAACAAATTCTTAATATGCTCATAAATGTCTTCCCAGTATTTTTTAATAATCTGGCAGTCCCAGAAAATATGAAAATGATTGGCTTCCTTTGGTCCCGCAAAGCCTCCAGCAAACCTCTCTCACCAGATATTTGACCCTGTTGAATTCCACTGAAACTTGCATATTTTTCCCCAACTCTCCACTTTCCCATTTTACCTTTATGTAATCGGAGGTCTCTTGCTTGAATTGTTGAATACCTTTATATAGTTTAGATATTATCTTATTATATTTTTAGGACCTAAGTAGTGATAGAAATTCATGCAGAAATCCCAACCCACCCCCATCCAAGACCCCCCCCAAAATTTTGGCAAAAGTAGCTTCTCACCTGCAGATATCTATGGAACTCATCTTTTTCCGAACCATATTTATTCTGCAATGTCTCAAATGTCTGAAATGCCCCCTTGTGGTCAAGCCCTTAGTAATCCATTTCTTGAATCTGTTATTGTTTTTATTTGGTGCAAAGTCCGAATCGTAGGCACACCACCTCAAAATTTTAGATGGGTTTTCCAACTTACAAATTTTAATGATCTCTTTCCAAGATTTCAAAAGAATATCAGGCATGGGACCCTCAGAGACCCCCAGTTGGTCCTGCAGCCTGCTGTCAGCCAGTAGAGTTAATATTGGTACTCCCTTAACTGCTGTGCCTTCTATATCCATCCATCCTGAAGTGAATGCTGGAAGACTTAGGCAGATTAATGGCCTAAACTGTGCTGAATGGTAATATTCCTGAAGGCATGGGAGGCTGCCCCCTTTTCTTTTCTTAATTGCATTGTTTTATATTTAATTTGGGCTCTTTTCCCTTGCCATATGTACCTTGATATCAATCTGTCCCATTCTAAAAATTGTTCTGGTGGTATTTTAACTGGGAGGCACTGAAAGAGGCAGGTTGACTCCCGGATATTTTATAAATTCTGTGTCCCAATTCCATTTGTAAATAGTTCTAATCTCTGGTGGTGGGTTGTAATTAAAAGGCAAGACTTGAGTTTTATTTACATTAATTTTATACCCCGAAAGTGAGCCATACTCCCGTAGCATTTCTATTAACTTTGGGAGAGTCTGTGTCAGTTGTGTCAAACTCAGCAATAAATCATCTGCAAAAAGAGATATTTTTTACTCCCCTGGTGTCATTAATACTCGTTTTATATTAGGACTCTGTCTAATCCACTGACTCAGGGGTTTGATAAACAGGGCGAAGAGAAGTTGGGATGCATAACATCCTTAGCTGCGTCCGAATTGCCAAGTAGTAGTCGAAGTAGTATCTAGCATGTCCGAATTGGCCACCGGAGCGAGTAGCATGCTACTTCAGATACTACTTCGGATACTAGACACGCCCACATTGTAGGTTGGTCGCGGTGCATCCTACGGGCATGCTACTGACCCAAAATGCACCGCGGGCTTCTTCTTCGTCCTCTTAAAAGTTGTAGAAGCGCATGTGATGCTAGCGCCACCAGCTGCTCTGCCTATTTAAATGTGTCGCGAACGCCGGCTGGCCACAGCAGCGCGCACCATGTCGGAGCAGCAGCAGCAGGCGGGACCGCAGCAGTACAGTTGTAAGTTTCATGTAACTTCACACACTGTCCTAAAAAATGTGCAGTTGTATCTCTTTGTCATGTCATGGTGTCATATTTGCCCAAGTAATCATTTTATGAGCAAATATGTGGCGACATCATGGAGGTAAAGCTCACTTATTCCATCATTAAACTGCACAGCTGCAGTAATCAGGCAGATCTCATTGAACTAACGATCACCACATGGGTGAATGAAGGCTAAAAGTAATGGAAAAGCTACTTTGTGAATTTCTAAAGCAGTGCAGGAATATAATACAGCAGCATCCATCACTTGCACAATTACCATTCAGTCTAAAACGGGCGCAGTACCTACTCTCTGCCTGCGGGGGTCGTCTTTCCCCACCGCTCGTCTAGTGTGTCCGAATTGGGCCAACGTGTTTAGTCTGTAGGAGTAGGATCTAGCAGTAGTATGTAGCAGTAGCATGTAGTATCCGAGCGGGCAATTCGGACGCAGCACTTGTCTTGTGTGACAACCCCTCCCACTCCTCCTCTGCTTTCTCCCCTTTCATGTGTCTGATTCTGCTCTGTGTTGCAGCCTCAGGGAGATGGTGGAGGGCGGAGCTGGGAGGGGCCGAGTTAGCTGCCCAACAGGGCAGGGCCAGAGAGCAGAAAAGGCCTGGCTGAAATGCTGTAGCTCTCTCTCTCAGCAGGGCCTGCATCTACCACACCAGCCACCACCTTTTGGGGTTTGATCATCTAACAGCATCCACCACACACATGCTCACACATCCAACATTTGCTGACACTACTGATCTTAATCCTGACACCTCATACTGATTGATTATCATTTTTGTTAAATAAAATATCTTGGTTAATGGTTATTGTTGTGTGTTGCCTCCCTTCTTGTTATCTGCCTTCAGCCAGGCAGTAACACTTGTTCCTCTCTCAAGAGTGAATGACTTTGTGAGATCCCCATTAATTTTAATTCTGGCTGTTGGTTTATGATAAAGTGCTTTAAATGTAATAATTATGGATGGATGAAAGCCAAATTTGGATAATACTTGATAAAGAAATGACCATCTTATTGAGTCAAAAGCTTTTTCTGCGTGTACACTAATTCTAAGTGACTCTACTTTTTGTTGTATTATCTGTCTCATAATGGGAAACACTTGAACTCAGTCATGCACTACTAGCATACTTACCGAGTAGCCTGCTTAGTATTTGATATTTGTTGCAAAGTGCTAGTTTATTTCCACTTAATGGTGGCACTACTGTCTATGACAGATATTAAAGGGGCATTCCCTGTAATTTTCTTTGTTTTGGTCAACATATGCCAAATGAGTATAACAGTAACTAACATGTGAATAGCTAAAATATGGTGATGATGACATGGTGATGATGACTAAATGTGAAGATGTGAATCCAATTGAAATGTAAGAGAATATGATCTGATGAAAAGAAAAGAAAAAGATAAAAAGACAAAAAGAGATAATTTAGGCTGTGATTCAATAAATATGCTGAATTCCACTGAGGAAGGCTGACTGGGAAATAGCATTGTGATTAGGCCTGTCACGATAACAAATTTTGCTGGACGATAATTGTGCTACAAATTATCGCCGATAAACGATATTATTGACACCGTTTTTTAAATTATAGATAATGATATTATATGGCATAATAATGCGAGTACACCATGTCAAAAGTGATAAACTTTAATTTCCACACGAGAACAACACTGGTTGTTTTCGTTGACTAAAATATTTCCCTTTTCTCCCACGACGAAGACGTAACGTTGACGAGCTAAACATAAGTCGGAGATGACTAAAATGTGACGAGACGAAAGTGCGTTTACGTTGATGGGACGAGACGAAAATGACGAACAGAGTTGCAAAACTCAGTCAGTTAAACGCTAAACATATAGGAGCAGCTTCAGTCAGCTCTGACAGCTCTCATCAGCCTGCTGTGCTCCTCCAACACACAGACACACACGCACGCGCGCGCGCACACACACACGTGGAGTTTTTGACGAAAACAAAACTGGTTTAAAGCCGAAATATTCCCACACTTGGGCTGTTGCGTTCGGTTTAGACACCAAAGCTGTCGTGTTCATTCTGTTTGCTTGCTTTTCACTCACGACGCTCACTTGCAGCACTGTATCCAAAAAGTCTGTGTCTGTGTGCCTGTGCGCGCCAGCCCCCTCGTGACAAAGACACTGAATGACTGACAGGAGGGTTCACTAACTCCGTTCATTCCGCTATAGAGCCAACGCCCCCAGGTACCAGGAACAATGCGCAGAGTGAGACCTCTTCTCTCATCCAGCGTGTTTCGTAGCGAGAGAGGAGGAAAACAAACGCACGTCAATTATCAAGGCTGGCAAAGTTATCGACCTCGTTTTTATTTATCGAGCGATAAGGCGATTTATTGATTATCGCGACAGGCCTAATTGTGATCGTCTCATTCTTTCATTCCTGTTTTAACAGGCTATACCAGAGCTTTCCAGCAGAATAACCTTATCTGCCTATGGGTCTTCAACCTGAACCCTGTAACAGATTTGTGGGGGCTCGTCCGGGATCGGCGCCACCTGGTGGTTGGAGTAGGACGTCGATCTAGTGATTCCTGAACCTGTGGGACAGGGTGCTGTATCATCAGAGCAAGGAGCTGTGAGAGTCAAGGGCGTCTGACTGTTGCCAGAGCGAGGACTTCACGAGCTGAGGCTGTTTGATTGATGTTCACGATGGCGACAACGAGAAGAAGTTAACTTGGACCGTAAAGAAGAAGCTGTTCAACCTTTCTTCAGATGAACTGCTGCAGCTTGCCACATTAATCTCACAAGAGCCTGCTCAAGCTAAGTTGGTCAAACAAGATGAAGAGGGTTGTATCGATTACTTGTGTTCATACATGGAGAGCACTGATCTGCTAGAGTCAGATGATTTTGGCATGTCAAAGTTAAATGATTTGCTTAAGATTATTGCTGAAATTATTGCTGACCGTAGTAAGAGTGATGCTGCCACAGCTGGTGTTGATGTACCGGGTGTATCTGATGTTTCATTACGCTTATCTGAGAGTGTTCACACCGACACACGTTACCACACGTTACAGAGTCACACTCTGACACCACCCCAGTTGATTTAGTTGCTCAAACTGAGGCCATTGAATTGCAAATTAGTAAGCTGATGTCCACTTATGATGATTTGCGCCAAAAGGTTAGACAGGGTGGGGCTCCACTTACTCCACACACCATAACCCACACCCAACCCTCTACTTTTCACCAACTTACACACAAGCCTCAATACACCATAACTCACACTCACCCTACAGATTCACGTCAGTCTGCACACACCAGTCCATATATCACTTCCAATACTCAACCCACTGATTCTCACCAGTCCTGCAGTTCACACACCACAACTGATACACACCCCCCTTCCCATTCCCACGATTCACCTGTCATACCATTCCCCCATCCTAACCCTGAACAACATCCCACTCACCGTACTGAAAGCATGATTGCCCTCAAGGACCTCCCTTTCCTCCAGAGGAAGGAATTCAAGGTACATGGTAGGCAGATTTGCGATAATGCATCCGATGTAACCTACAGCATCATCAGCAAGCAGATTGATCAAGGACTGAGAGAAATGCACACTGAGGGTGAAGTCATCAGAATCAGAATGCAGAATCAGAATGCCTTTTATTGTCATTATACGCAGTACAATGAGATTAAAGCCACCCATATCAGTGCAAGACATTGGAAAAAAGAGATAAAAAATATAGAACTATGAAACGAGATTAATATGAAGTATATACAATGTAAACATGTGGACCTGAGATTCTTTTAACAGGATAAATATGGTACGGATATGCATAAATGTAATATGTAACAGTATTAAATATAAAGTGCACAGTCCTGAGATCCTATTAACAGAATAAATATGGTAAATATACAGAAATAGCATGAATGTAATGTGCAGATGAATGTGTATTGTCCATCAGTGATAGAAATAGAAGTATGACACAAGAGTAGTATGAAGTATATACAATGTAAACATATGGACCTGAGATTCTTTTAACAGAATAAATATGGTACGGATATGCATAAATGCAGTATGTAACGGTATAAAATATAAAGTGCACAGTCCTGAGATTCCTGTTAACAGAATAAATATGGTAAATATACAGAAATAGCATAAATGTAATGTGCAGATAAATGTTTAATGTTCATCAGTGTTTATGAGCAGTGTTTCGCATTATAAAGCCTGGGAACTTTAAGGATATGCTCTCCAGCAAGGATGACATGCCCATAGCCGAGCTGAAGAGCTTCCTACAATCCCACTTAGGAGAGAAAAGCAGCACTGAGCTGTTCCAGGAACTAATAAGTGCCAAAGCACATGAGCATGAAACACCACAGCAATTTCTCTACAGGATGATGGGGCTCAAACAAAAAGTGATGTTCATGTCAAAACAGACAGACTCTGATATCAAGTACGAAGCACAAACTGCACAAAATGTTTTTCTTCGCACGGTCTATCAGGGCCTGAATGAGAAGCATGATAACATCCGACAGGAGTTAAAGCCCCTCCTGTCAGACCCTGCAGTCACAGATGATGGGCTTCTAAGACAAGTCATCAGAACCACGAGTGAAGAAAGTGAGAGGAAGCAACGATTAGGACGCAGAGCTCACCTCAAGACAGCCCAAGCTCACAGTGGTGAAGTCACCACTAGTGAGGCGGACAAAGCAAAGCCTGCCTCTGACACAAAAGCAAAAGATGAGCTCATTCAGCGGCTAAGCGCTCAAGTACAGGCTCTGACTGAAGTCGTAACCTCACTACATTCAAAAGCTGAAGCTAAAGTGTCCCCACCTGAGCCTCAGCCCCGGTCCACTTGCGAGTGCTCCACTACACAGTGTTGACAAGCAAGGAAAGAGAGGCCATATGGCTACCCTAACTGTGTTGCAAATGGCCGCCCCAACTGCAAACACTGTTTCGCCTGTGGAGAAGAGGGACACTGTGCTGTTGGGTGCCTGAAGAGACCAAAGCCGTCGAGAAACTCCCTCCAGTCACAGCAGAGGGACCACCTGTGACCGGCACAAACCTTCAGTCCCATGCAGATAGTACAAAACCTGTACCTGTACGAGTCAATCACCATCTTGCCACCCCTTCCCACTCATCGGCCGATGATAAGTCCCCCTCACAGCGGGTAGCTAAGCTGATTGGGAAAAAATGCTTGTTGAAATGCAATCTAAGTGGTATGCTGTGACTGTCCTTCTAGACTGTGGGGCCCAAGTTAGTATTATTAACAAATCATGGAAACACAAATACATACCTCAACAGGAAGTGCGCCCCCTCAGTGAACTCATAGAAAATAGAGGATTGGAGCTCACGGCAGCCAATGGAGGACAGATCCCATATGACGGATAGGTGGAACCCACCTTTAACCTGACCGGCAACAATGATCCAAATCTCGGCGTCAGAGTACCCTTCCTGGTCAGCCGTGTGGGTCTTGTGGGGCCAATATTGGGCT